TGCGTATGCCGTTCTATCCACCTTGGGACCCGTTATCGTTTCCTCAGTCGTTTAGTGCCGTATGCGGTCGTCCTCGTGTGGCCGAACGGTCTATATGACACTAAACAGTAACGCAAACGGCCGTTTTTGTCCTCGTGTGGCTGCAGCCTAATACAGCTTCGGCGATCCACTAGCACTGCGGTGGTTTTTGAAATCCTCCCGATTTCTGAGGTCTCAAGGTTGGCAAGTATGGTAATGAGTGACCCGACAGTGAAGAATACATATATGTATAACTAGTTTAGCTTGTTCCAGAGGTAGATCAAATGTGTGTTAGGTCTAACTCTTAGTGTGTGTGTTTCACTCCGCTCACCGGTCCGTCACAGCGGGTGGAGCTGCAGGATTTCTGCTTCACACATGTAGCATACCGATATTTCATTGTCATTTTCGGACACCTTAAAATACTGCCAGACCGGTGAAGCCATTTTGGCGAGCTTGTTGTTGAACTTGAGAAAAGTGTCATGTATTTTACGTCAAGCGATCGGCTCTCCTGATCGGCCTTTAGAGCACCGATCGATCGGCAGAGAGTGAATATCGGCCGATATCGATCGGAGCATCAATAATTCTGATTAAATTAAAAAAATCACAATGCTTTTTTAAATCCCTCTTCATGCATCTGTTGCCTACAGAGGGCTTGAATCAGATGTATGCTGCTGTGATTATGTATTTTTGTAACTCTGGCACAACAATTTCCATCGGGATAAATACATCTTATCTTTATCTTATGTAAAATCCATGGTGTCGTTCCCTCAGAGGACACCAGGAGTCAGAGGAAGGTCTCTGTAACAAGCCGCTCTAAACAGCTGATGTATTGACAGCTGTACGTTGTAATACATTGGACGGGGACTATTGACATTGCAATATCAGAGGGACGTCCTGCGGTCGGGAGGCTGTCCTTCTTTAGAGAGGAACCAACGACCTTGCTGAATTCATATTCTGCTGATAGAGCTTCACAAGCTTGCGAAATTGAACCTGTGTTATAAAAGAAAAGCATACAGGGTGACAAGCAAACAGTGTATGCGTGTGATTGATTTAGCCATTAATCTGAGCTGTGTGCTGGTGTGTGTGTGTGTGTTTAAAGAGCCTCTGTGCACACATGGATAAGACTCCTTGTGTTTAACGGATGCCTCCCTCACCCTGCCTCCTCCCTCCTCCCGAGTCTCCTCTTCTATTGATCGGGATACACAGCAAACAGCGAGTCTCCCACACAGGGGGGGGGGGGGGGGGGGGGGGGTTGTCAGGTCAACTAAAGAAGCACTGCGACCTCTGACTACAAGAAATATGTCGATTGCTCTCTGTTTTTTTACAGATAGGATCCACTTTTAAAACTGGTTTACTCCAGTGAAGTAAAGGAAAAAACACATGCAAGATGTTGGAGCAATGTTTCTGAAGATGCAGCCCGTTTCTCCTAATGGAAATGTTGAGGGCTGTTGTTGTCTGTTCACACCTGCCGGCCACTGTACAAACGAGACCATATGTTCTATTTTTAGAACTGTTTCCTCCAGTAAAGTAAAGGAAAACCAGCTTTGCTAATGTCATGCATGTGTCAGGGGGGTTGGGGAAAAGTTGTCCATTCACTGGAGAAAACCAGTTTTTAAAATGAACCATATCTGAAAAAAGTGGAGGGAAATTAGCCCTAAAACATCTAAATGACTCCCTCGTAAGTCAATGGTTTTCTGAATATGTTTTGGTTGTTAGCCTGAAATAAGGTCTAGGGTTAACAAAAGCTGAAGAGATTTTGTTCTACGACATAAATTACGTCATTCAATACCCCGCTTGTGAACTTAGTGTCTAAATGAGACGACTAAACGTAATCACGGCCAACATTAGCCTCCTTTAGCTTAGCGGTGGTGACGTGAAGTCATGTGACCGTGCTGTAGTTCCTTTATAGCCCAACACTAGCCGCCTTTAGCTTAGCGGTGGTGATGTGAAGTTATGTGACCGTGTTGAAGTTCCTTTATAGCCCAACACTAGCCGCCTTTAGCTTAGCGGTGGTGACGTGAAGTCATGTGACCGTGTTGAAGTTCCTTTATAGCCCAACACTAGCCGCCTTTAGCTTAGCGGTGGTGATGTGAAGTTATGTGACCGTGTTGAAGTTCCTTTATAGCCCAACATTAGCCGCCTTTAGCTTAGCGGTGGTGACGTGAAGTCATGTGACCGTGCTGCAGTTCCTTTATAGCCCAACATTAGCCGCCTTTAGCTTAGCGGTGGTGACATGAAGTCATGTGACCATGCTGTAGTTCCTTTATAGCCCAACATTAGCCGCCTTTAGCTTAGCGGTGGTGACGTGAAGTCATGTGACCATGCTGCAGTTCCTTTATAGCCCAACATTAGCCGCCTTTAGCTTAGCGGTGGTGACGTGAAGTCATGTGACCGTGCTGTAGTTCCTTTATAGCCCAACATTAGCCGCCTTTAGCTTAGCGGTGGTGACGTGAAGTCATGTGACCGTGCTGCAGTTCCTTTATAGCCCAACATTAGCCGCCTTTAGCTTAGCGGTGGTGACGTGAAGTCATGTGACCGTGCTGTAGTTCCTTTATAGCCCAACATTAGCCGCCTTTAGCTTAGCGGTGGTGACGTGAAGTCATGTGACCATGCTGCAGTTCCTTTATAGCCCAACATTAGCCGCCTTTAGCTTAGCGGTGGTGACGTGAAGTCATGTGACCGTGCTGCAGTTCCTTTATAGCCCAACATTAGCCGCCTTTAGCTTAGCGGTGGTGACGTGAAGTCATGTGACCGTGCTGTTGTTCCTTTATAGCCCAACATTAGCCGCCTTTAGCTTAGCGGTGGTGACGTGAAGTCATGTGACCGTGTTGAAGTTCCTTTATAGCCTAAAGTTGCTAACTTCCAGGTCGGACTACATAAATACACCCTCCCTGAACCACTCTATTGGCTCTTCTGCTCCTGGGTGTTAGCAGCAGCAGAGGTATTTGACCGGGAACATAAATGTCCAATCTGCCCCCGAGGGGAGGATGTCTTGCTGCTCAATTCTAATTCATGTACATATAAATAACTGTCGGTGGCACTGCTAATTGGATTAAAAGGCTCGGTAGAGGAGAGACGGAGGAGAGGAGGAGAGGGGGAGTGAAGGCAGCATGGCGTGATTTACAGCATATAATTATTGTCCTGTAACCAAAGCTAAGAGAGCACAATCTGACCAGAGGAATACTATTTATTTTGTATTTAATTCAAGTTTTAGTCGTAGTACATTCTCAAAATGCAGCCACATCTTCTATTTGACTCAACAGCAAACAGGCATTGTTAATATCATTAAAAAAAATGCCTGTTTTTTTTAATGATATTTTAGTGACTCCTTTTACTGTGTTCCTACTCTCTGGTTCATTTCAGTTACTACTATTTCACATTTTCTTCCTTTGATAATTGTTAAGCTGCTGTCAATTATTCTCTTATTTCAGTAAAAAAAACCTACTTTCTTCGATTTTCTGAAGCTTCAGTGTTTCCTAACAAGGCGGTTGCTAACAAGTGTCATCATGGCCAACATTTAGCCTCCTTTAGCTTAGCGGTGGTGACGTCATGTGACCGTGCTGTAGTTCTTTTATAGCCCAGCATTAGCCTCCTTTAGCTTAGTGGTGGTGACGTGAAGTCATATGACCGTGCTGTAGTTCCTTTATAGCCCAACATTAGCCTCCTTTAGCTTAGCGGTGTTGATCTAGAACCCACCTCACCTCTGCCCACTTTGACAACCTAGGATGGCTTAGAGTAGACGACAGAGTACAGCTACTTGCAATGGGCCTGGTCTACAAGATCCACTACACCTCTATGGTACCCATGTACATGTCAAAATTATTCCCAAAGGTCAAGGAATACCATGATCATAACACCAGAGGGAGCTCCACTAATCATGTGAAACCCAGATTTGGCACAAAAAAGGGGGAATACACGTTTCGCAATTATGCCACATCAAGGTGGAACGCTCTTCCCACAACTGTAAAGGAAAGTAAAACTATACTTACCTTCAAAACCTCTCTTAAAGAGCACCTTCGGGGGAGAGCATTGCAAAACTGGCCCGGTAATGGTACAAATCTCAACCTGTCGTTCAATGGACAGCTTCCCCCCCCCCCCATCTATGTATATACTCGCATTTTAGACTCTGTTACTAACTGTATATCTGTAGACTTGGTATGTCTTAAATGTCCGGTTAGGATGTATTAGAACGAAATCTAAAATGAAAATTGTAAATAAGCAATCTGTATGTAAAAAACCACCTGTATGTAAATTGTAAATAAACCATCTGTATGTCAAATATGTCTTATATGTCTTAAATGACATGATGAATTGGAAATGGGGGACCCTGATGTAAACAAGACGAAAGTCTTTCTCTGGTCTGCATCCCCTTAACAATTGTATGTTTTGAGCTGTACTGTACTGTACCCAATATACAAGCTGTTCATAAACTTTTCAATCAATCAATCAATCAATCAAAACGTGAAGTCATGTGACCGTGCTGTAGTTCTTTTATAGCCCAACATTAGCCACCTTTAGCTTAGCGGTGGTGATGTGAAGTCATGTGACCGTGCTGTGGTTCCTTTATAGCTCAACTATAGATGTATTATTGTGCAAATTGTATTAACACTTATAATGTGGAGATATCCTGCTTTCCAAAAGTGTAAGTGTATCAGGAATGTCTCTTATTGGCTTTTTTGTCAAGGGAGCTCTTTGCGATGCTAACTTCAGGATCAGCCTTCAAAAATACATAATCTCTGTTGGCAAGCGACTGAAGATGTCCAGTCAGCACAATGGAAACAACATGAGATTTGGAGGAAATTGACTGTGGAGAATACAAGATAGGCAGATCGAAGTCGAATTATGACTGAAGAAGATTGAGGATTGATTGTACGAAAAAAAAACTGCAGCACAAGATGCTAGGATGTAATGATTTGAAATGAGACAGAAACTGATGAGAGTATGTGGCGAGGAGAAGGAAAGGAAGTGTGAGGAAGTGTTACCTGGTTCTTGAGCAGCTCCTGTGTTTGAGGAGGAGAAGGAGGGGAGAAAACAGAAAGGGAGGTTAGCAATCAAAGCCCCAATTCAATTACAATGCAGGTGCATGCATGTAAAGCACAGGAGAAGTCAGGTAAGGGTGAACATACACTCATTCATGCTGATCCCACTCTGCAAAAAGAAAGGATTTCAAAGAGCAAAAAACAGACAGTTGTTGAAGTTGAAGTGTAAGGTTTTAACTCCAATCATGTTGCTACCAATGAGCTTTGATCAACACATTTCAAATGCCAAAATGTTATGGATTGCAAGTCGTGAGCAGATGACTAGCTTCTGTTTACATCTTCCATCTGTATCTGACTATAGTTCCCTGTCACACGTCTACTGAATTATCTTCGGGAATACTTTTCAGAAAACACACACCAAGACTCTTTACTGCAGCTCACAATAATGACTCCATTACCACTGCGTTTAATGGAGTGCTGGAATGACACGGGAGGAAAGTCAGCTCCATAAAAGTGTGAGAAACGACATTGATACAGCGTGAGGTCGCCACACAAACACAGCAGGAGGTCACTTCTGCTAAACAACACATAACCCAGTTATAATCTTTGCGCTATGCTAAGCTACGAGGCTGTAGTTATATATATTCAGGAGAGAAACTCGACTGCAGTATCAATTCTTAAGTTGACAGCAAAACACACACTTTTAAATAAACTGGAACATGTGTATGAAATCTAACATTTCATGGTGCTTTTGTTTCTTTTTCTTTCATATGTTGTATGCATGCTTCTTGGTTGATATTAAGCTGTCTTTGGCTCCTTCCTGCTGTAACAAATGCACATGTCCCCTCTGTGGGAAGAATAACGTTATTCTGATCCTGCTTTTCTGTGATTTCCTTGTCAACAAACAATGTTTTCATTTAATACCATTAGGCTTGGGTTGCCACAGACTATAAGCATTGTTGGTTTGGTCTTTTCATTGGATGTGCAGACAATAAAAACACATATCATAGTACCAGCCTTATCCTTGAACAACATCACTTGAGAAAAATGCTCCTAAATGGAAACAGGAAGTGCAACAAATGTTTGTAGAAGATTTGACGTTACTGCAAAAATATATAAATAATAATAACTTAGAAGAAAATGTAAGTTGTTAATTGAGTGACCACCCAAATATTTCCATACCAATGATAAGGAGAGGAAACCCAATGTGACCTAAAGGAAATACTTGACCATGCTTCCCTGGGGTCAGTTTGTATGTTATGCTAAGCTAACAGACCGTGGTTTCATATTTAGGCGACAGACATGAGTCGTTTCAATCCTATCCAACCCCAAAAATTACAAAAATAAACCCATAAAATAGCAACAGCCTTTTTTTTTATCACCATAACCAGGGTTGCCAACTCTCACGCATCTGGCGTGTGACACACGCTTTCACTCTCAATCTCACGCTCTCTCGCTGCCCAAACTATTCTCACGCCAAAAACAAGATGAACCAGCGATAGTTTTTGGTTATTTACAATGTTGAGTTGACAGCTGCTCGAGCTGTCGATCCGCTCCCTCCCCGCCCCCACCACTCTCAACAACGTTAACAGACAGCAGAGCAGTGGGAGCCGGTTGGTCAATCCCCGACCCGTATTGCGCATGCGCAGATCTGAGATCCAGTAGAAATGATAACAAGTAAAAGCCTGCTGCTTATTGTTCTACTCGGCCAACATAGAGTCAACGAGTATGAGAGTGAGAGTGTGTTAATTAATATATGTGGCAGTTTAGTATGTAGATGTGTGTGTGTGTGTGTGTGTGTGTGTGTGTGTGTGTGTGTGTGTGTGTGTGTGTGTGTGTGTGTGTGTGTGTGTGTGTTTCATGTATAGGCCTCTCACGATAATTAATTTTGTTGGATACATTTTCCCGGAAATTATTGCGATAAACGATAATATTGTCGGCACCGTTGTCTGACCATTTTAGACCACTGACATAATGATAATAGATAATAATTCAAGTACATCCTTTCAAACGGCTAGTCACATCCTCATGTAAATGTATCGAGGTCAGAAAAGTTATCGAGTTCATTTTTATTTATCGTACGATAAGTCAATTCATTGCTTATCAGGCCTAGGCACACAATAAAACAGTGGAAACAAACATGTGTTTGACTTTCATTATTTAATGAAACTGTGTGCCTTTTATAGTCTGTGTCCAATATTGTGTATTTGTATATATTGTATATATATATATATATATGCTACGGTCCCGCTACTGACACGATAGCAGTCATTTAGTGCGTATATGTGTAATTAAACCCATGATATCAAAATCTCACTCCAGCCAGGTACCCAAAGTTGGCAACCCTGCCATAACTAGGTACAATTATTAAAATACAAAACAGGAAGTGCAAAAAAATATGTGCAAAAGGTTTACCTTTAGCTAACGTATATGATACAAATCATAATAACATGGAAACAGGAAGTGCAACAAATGTTTGCAGAAGATTTGACGTTACTGCAAAATATATAAATAATAATAACTTAGAAGAAAATGTAAGTAGTTAATTCAGTGACCACCCAAATATTTCCATACCAATGATAAGGAGAGGAAAACCTAATTCCCAATGTCATAGGAAGAATACTTGACCATGCTTCCCTTGGATCAGTTGTTATGCTATGCTAAGCTAACAGACTGTGGTTTCATATTTAGGCGACAGACATGAGTCGTTTCAATTCTATCCAACCCCAGAAGATGACAGCAAAACACACAATTAAAACAGGCTCAACTGGGAGATGTAAATGAATTCCAGCGTTGCCTGGAAAGAGCTGTTTGGCCCTCAGAATACAGTCTGGCATACGCTTAGACCCCCGTCGATGAAGAACGTTTTTTCAGCCAAGTAAGCATCAGGATTCCAGCTACGAGGCGGATTCTGATTAGAAAACCTGTTTCCTCTTCAACTTTTGCCAAATCTCAATCATGGTGATATTCTAATTACCATTATCCTGAAGACAGAGAGGCAGAGATTGAGTGGGTGTGTATGAGGGAGGGAGAGAGGAGTAAAAAGGGAGGGAGTGTTTAGCACGTAATCCGGGAAAATCTGAGGAAAATGCAGCGTGAAGATCAAGTTAAACCATAGACTGCAGCTCCTTTTACCTCGTACACAGAAGTGTGTGTGATAGAGATGTTGAATCGTTGCCCAAGATTAAAGACCTCAGTGCTCTCCAAACCGAATAGGTCGTATATGATGTTGGAAATATACATGTCCTTAAATTACAAGCTTCTGCATTCATTTTCAAACTATTTAATGGCCGTGGAAAATGTATGTGGAGTACTTTGAACTACACATAGGCTGGTTGAAAGTGGAGGAGACAAAAACACCTGACACCTGGGGAATTGGCTTTAATGCTAGTAAATGCTAAATGCTATCCATTAGCAGTGTTACTAACTGTGGAAACAACTCTCTTGCTTGGTACTGATGTTGCTGGGACAGAGAGATATGCTTTGGCCATGGGTGACAGCAGTGGTAAAACTGTGCATTGTCTCTCCACCACTTCGAAAACAATACAGTTGTTGCCAAGAAGGTGAGGCTTATTGACAACAATTACCTACAATTCAGTGTAAAACCTCTTGGTTCTGCTCAATTTGACCCCAAACTCAGATCTAGTTTCGGTGTATATATAGGGACACAGAAAATAACAGCCTCTAAACTCCGCTTCCTAAAGCTATAACGTGGAGAGCTCCTAAAGATAGACGAGTAAGTCATAAAGTCTCCCAGCATAGCATCAGTTGTCTCCTGCTTAAGCATTCAGGTGCAGCAGCGTAACAAAGTGCTTCAGAGCCACACATTCAACCCGGACCACCCTCAGGTTCAGCTTCATGCAGTCTGATGGGCTGAAGGGAGGGGGCTTTGCTTTGGGGAGATTACACAGCAATAGGCGAGACATGGAGCAGCTCTCCCCATGTTAAGTAAATGGAGAGCAGGGCGAAGAATAACTGCACGGTCGCTTTGCCTTATGAGTCTTGTGGGAAGCTTTTCGCTATTCCACCCCGACCTACAACCTCCAGAGGTGAGGTTAAATGACAAGGACTGCAGAGATGCATTAAACATGAGTGGTTTGGACAGAGAGCCAGACGTTGGGCCACTCCTGAGATGATAGGAACATTAACCAGGGTTTCACCAGGGCCTGAGCTGCATTTAATGAAGGCCTCGGCACCTCCCGATGTCTCTGTTTGACTCTCATCCAGAGCGCTAAGCAGCTCATGGAAAACATAGCACTGCTTTTTCTGGCTCCGGTCGTCCGATGTTCTGCCTCTTCCTCTTTGTCTGTATTCAGTTTCTAGCCTGACATCTTGTTATAGAGTCTTTGATGTCAGCAGTATATGTAAGATTTTTTGTCAAAACAAAAACAGCAGCGTTTGAAATTAAGACTAAAAAATGTCACTAATACTGTTCAAAAGTCAACGCACATTTTACCTGAGCAGCTAGCTAAAGCAGAACAAGAAAAAAGGTTCGTATTGTGTCGTATAAAGTCATATTCCATTCTACTCAAACACAGCAGGTTGTACATGGCAACATTGCTAAAAAAAACTCTACAGATGAGAGAGAAATCACAAGCATTAGACACTGAAGAAACCTAGACGTTAAAACACCTATCGGAGCTGTAGGTTGTAAACATACGGATGAGTCACATGTGAAACATTTTTGAAGATCTGACCAAACGTTTTTTTTTCTGAGATTAAAGTCAGAATTCAGAGAAAAAAATTAAAATATAGTTTTTCAGAAAATATCAGAAATTGACTTTTTTTTCAGAATTCAGACTTTTTTGCCGAAATTCTGACTTTTTCCTCAGAATTCAAACTTTCTCACAAAAAAAATATGAAAAATCTAGAAAGCAGATTCAACCACATATAACCTGACATACTGTAACGGCCCCTCTACACAGCGGCGTGCGTTGAAGCTTGCCGGCGGGCGTGTCTGAAACTCGACCAACAACCAATCACATGAATCTCCCGCCCCGGACACACAAGCAGCGGCATATGATTCGATTGGCTGACGCTTCTGCCGAG